GAAAACCAGAGATGCTGGTGCCATTCCTGAAGTCAAGGAATGTAGGGAGAGAAACCGCGAAGAGAAAGCTGATGGATTAATTTTAAATCATGTCAGACATTGTGGTAAATTGCTTTTGTTGTCAGAAGAAAGTGAAACATGGGGATGAGGCTGACGCCCCTGTTGGCTATCAGACACAATCCCAGTCCTCCTCTTAGAAGTCACCACCCCTGGGGTCCCTCGGTGGCTCAGTCAGGTGAGCATCCAGCTCTGGCTTTCAGCTCAGGTCATGACCTTACAGCTGGTGAGATGGAGACCATGGAGGGCTCTGTGCTGACAGTGCGAAGCCTGCTTGGGATTCTCTCTCTCTCCCTCTCTCTCTCTCCCCCTCCCCCATTCATGCTATGTGTCTCTGTCACAGTAACACTACCACCAGCTTAGTGTGTATTCTTTCAGGCCTTGCGCTGTGTATTTCCATACTCCCCATAATTCCTTTTAGATACCTAATATAGTCTATATTTTATACACCCCAATTTTTTTCTTCACACAACTGATAATGTAGACGTTTTTCTCACTCAGTGCATATGAAGTTAAGTCATTCTTTTGACTGTTGTGTCGTATTCCAGACGAGTCACCCATCGGGCCCATTGATGGATGTTTAGCTTTGTCCCAGTTTTCCTGTGCTAACAGTGATGTTGCAGTGGATATACATTTTTATGTGGGTTTTTTTTTTTTTTTTTTTTGCAAATTATTTGATTTTTCGCCCTCTACTAGTTACTCAGAAGTGGAATTGCTGGGTCCTACGGGGTATGTTCTTATTTTGATAGTTGTTGCCAAACTGCCCTCCCTGTGGGTGCTGTGACTGCACAGTGTGCAAGTTGTTTATACCACATTCTCATCAACATGTAACATGGCTTTTTTTTTTTAATTTATTTTTTTATTTTTGAGACAGAGACAGAGCATGAACGGGGGAGGGGCAGAGAGAGAGGGAGACACAGAATCGGAAGCAGGCTCCAGGCTCTGAGCCATCAGCCCAGAGCCCGACGCGGGGCTCGAACTCACGGACCGCGAGATCGTGACCTGAGCTGAAGTCGGACGCTTAACCGACTGAGCCACCCAGGCGCCCCAATGTAACATGGCTTTTTAAAGTGAAAAATGATAGATCATGGCTTTGTTTCTCTGATCATCCGTGAGGTTAGGCATGGTTCCCTTGCCATTTGTCTGTCTTCTGTGAATTCCTTGTTTTCATCGTTTCTCCATTAGTCTGTTGGACCTTTGGCTTAGGGATTTAGGAGTCCAAAAATATTTATATCCTAATCCTTCATCTGTTTTATGTCACCGGTATCTTCCTTAGTCTCTTGTTTATCTTGCCAGTTTGTTTATGATGTTGTTAATTTGGATGGAAAAAATGTATCAATCTCGTCCTTTATGGCTCAGGTTTGTTAGAACAGCCTTGCTGACTCTTGCTGTCATGGGCATAACCGCTCCGTTTCATCTCACCTTTTTCATTTTTTAAGTTATCAGTGGGAAATTCTAGAATTATGTAAATGGAAAGCGATGTCTAAGAATGGAGTGGCGGTCAAAACACACACTCAAGATACGGATTGGGGGTTCCTCAGAGTAGAGGAGGTGGTTGAAACCAACGGCAAACAAAATAGTGTCCAGAGAAAGCATGTCAAGTTAAGTTCACAGAGCAATCAGGTTTTATTCACACTTGTATTCCTAGAACTGAATGTGGTGCCAGCCTCCAGTGGCATTCGTCAATACAACATCTATTCATCTAAAAATCTATAAATAAATCTGTAAAGGCCCGCTGAGTGAATACATCTTAAAATCTTCCTCTTTCCTTGAATCCATTTGTCAAAGCAAATCTTACAAGTGGGTAAGCATTGCGAGAAGGTGCTGTGACCTTTTGGCTTACCTGTATCACCAAAGCTGGACACTGGCTTCTAGTTCTCATTCCTTTGGTCCTGCCCTTTAAATGAACCAAGGTGGCATCTGTGAAGTCACAGCTGGAGGAGCAAGGTGATATTTGACCTACACAACTGTGCTGATTTGAGATGAATTTGGAGTGTGTCCATGAATGCCAACATCTCTTTGCTGTATCCTGTAACACCCCTAGAGTATTCATATTGGTCATTGTTCTCCTGACATTAGTTATTTTGTGGATTTATGAAGCGCCTTTCCCTGAACTGTCAATCTACAAATTGTCTGTAAAATCTACTCCGTGGGGTAAAGGAATGGAATTATTCATAAGGTAGTTTCTACCTCAGCTCAGGGTGAAATTACTCAGGGTATAATTAAGTCATAGACACACTGGCCTGAATGTGGATAAAGGTGGAAAGGAGATAATTCCTGTTCCAATTTGGGTGCTTTCTGATGTTTGACGAGCCTCTGGTGGGTTAATCCATCAACCGTGGAGAACTCAGAATTCCCTGTAAAGGAGACTGGGTTGTTTTGTTGTTGTTGTTGTTTGTGTTTTAGTTTCAGGAGAATTGGAGAAGAACTGACAGGGGAGGGAAGGAATAGGCAGAACTGGAAAAGCTTAAGGTTGTAAACAGGAAGACAACACTGAAATCCGATAGGTCAAAACTATGTAACAAAGGTAAAGCGTAGAAAAGGTGGAAGCAGCAAAAGTAAGGGTTAGGTGTTCTAGACTGAGTGGACACAGATTGTGCTGAGAGGGGCCAGGACAGGCTCGACCACAGCAGGTATTCTTCCCTGCCATGTACAGAAGCACAGGAGAGGTCGGCATCGGCAGTCCCCTTTGCCCCTACTGTTTGTTCTCCGGAGAGCCGGTGTGGACATAGCCAGGTGAGTTCACATGCAAGATAAGAAAATACAAATACATTCAGTGTTGCAGACAAATTAAAATTTATTGAGACAGACGGAAATGCACCTACTTAGGACTACAGTTAAAGCATTTACTATTAACCAAAGAGTCGTGTTCACATTCCAGATAAGTCTACGTGGAAAAGCATTCAGAATTTACTAGATTTTTCTACATCACTATTTCATCTACAATAGGGACAACAAAATGACACTCAGGATTTGGTGGGCTCTCATTACAATGCTACACATGGAACAGGGACAAACATCAGTGACTTTGAGAAAAAGGTATAAAAAGACCAAAACCACCCACTGTAGAAAGGGCTCTTAGATGTTACTGTACAATGAGGTCAAGGTAAAAAATGAAAACAAAACAAATGTGAATTGCATTCTGGGAAAAGTAGAGGGGCAGACCTGGACAGACACGTAGGCATTCACTGCTGGGCGTGGGGAAATGGGCATAAAGAAGGGGAAACTGATAACAAAACCTCAGATTGAATATCAAGGTATTCCCATGCCTAGAATATCTGCAGAAACAAAAAGACATTAATATGGCAGACAACTAACTATGGTAGAAGAAAATTCTGGGGTTTAAGTTGGATGCCGAGGAAACAGTATTAAATAAGAGAACCATTTATGGAATAAGAATAAAACTATTTACTAGAGTTTCCAAAAATGAGTCGGTGAGGATTCAGTTCATGAACTGTCTCAAAAAAAGGTAATCGATTATCATGGTATTATTTTTTTTAATCAACATTCTTACGTATTCTTAGTTGCTAGCAAAAATGCTCCTGCCCAAAAGGAAGAAATCAAAAATTTCACTTCTAAGGGTAAAGTTTCTAAAAATTGTACTAAAGCCCTTTAAAAATCCAGTGATGTCATGCCAAAGTTGAGGCACGAAAAGTGGTGTTAATGTTGGTTGGTCCATTGATTTTGGGTTTCCGGTCTTAGGAGGGCTTTTTATTTAACATCTTAAGGAGTCAAAATATCTTCTTGAAATATCTTTGAAAATGAGCATCTCGTTAGCTTACTGGGAACTGACTACAGAGCACACTCTTCTCCATCATTAAGTGAATGCTAAGCATCTTTAAGTGTCATCTTATTTTGACACTTGTCATAAGATAATTAGGCAAATTAAAATTGGTGGTTCTCTGTTCCTCGAAGTTTCTCTAAGTGAAATCAGTTAGTCGATTTTAATTTGTTCTCTTGTGCATTTTTCCAAGCTCAGAGAGACAGTAACAATGGTTTTCTCTGATGGTGTAAACTGAGATTTTTTTTTAATGTCTTGATTCTTTTATATACTCCATTATAATTTAGCTGCAATTAAACACCTGTTTTCTAAATTATGATCTTGGTATTTTGTTCAAGTGAGGAAAAAAAAAATTGAAACAGGGATGATGCAGTTGAAATCCCAATACAGAGCTTGCCTCTGGCCTCTCTATACCTACAGTCCTGGTTGTACCCGTGTATATTAGGCCAAGGAAGTTTATTGTATCAAGTATGTTCATTTCCCATCTGAGACTAACTCTAGAGATGATGCCACTTTGGCCAATGCTAGGATTGGAAAATGCTGGTTTGAGGCGGGTTGACAGAGTACAAAGTGGTTTTTTGCCTGAGTTTTATGCGGTTGTCTTGTGGATGGGCTGGAATTCATGATGAACGAAAACAAACAACAACAAAAAAAAATGTGGGCCAGAAAGCCTTGCTGGGTGGCTGATGAGGGTATCCAGGAAGCTGGAAACCAGGTGGAGCAGGAGCTTAAGGGCTGGTACTGAACTAAATGGGACCACTTGAGGACTATTCTTTGGTACTTTGTATCTGAGTCAGCTTTGATAGGGTCAGAAATTCTAAAAACGATAGAGATAATGACCCTACCAAATTTGGAGACAGACTCTAATCGTGAACTTACTTCGGGAAAAGAAACACTGATGAAGGGCCTTCTTCACTGGTTTCTTGACATTGGTGCAGGTGAGGTGATGGGGACAGGACTAGCCGGTAAAAATCCAACCCTAGCTTCTCTGTGCTACGATGAAGTTCTTTTTGGCCTCCGTCTGGGATTTTTTTACAAAGGATGAGTGGTGGTATAAAATCTGTACAGTTCGTGGACCCTCACTATGATCTGTGGATAGAAATGGGGCAAAAGCAAAACCTTAGATTAAGAATCCGGAATTTTCTTCTGCTAAGGAACACTGTGGTATTGTCTTCTCGGAGAGCAGGGGATATGATATGGAGACATGCCTTGGAAAAAGCCCTTGCGTAGGTAGGGAAGGTGAGAACCTGTGGCGGACAGGATTGTTGCAGCCCGGGGTGGGCTTGGAGCTGAAATGAAAGAGATGGCTTGTGAAGTTGCCCATGTGGGAGTCTCATGGCTTCTGCAAGAAAAGTGATTTAGGCGGACAGAGGCTTATCCAAATCAAAGGGCTTCCAGGAACTCTGCTAATGCATAGGGGAAGGAGCATCCTCAGCCTGCAGGCTGCAAGTGCTGTTAGTGCAAAAAAAGGACTTTGATACAAATTTCTTATTCCAGAAATTGTGATCCAGGTCTGGACAGGCTGACAAATCTAGAATTGTTTTTCAGATGAGTTTTTAGAGGATCTTGAAACACTTTTTTCTGAGAGTGTGTGTGTGTGTGCACCTTGTACACGTACAGTCTGTTCTGTACATATTCAAGCATGTACAGAGAGAAGCGTCCAGACACCATTTTTTATTAAGGAAATCAATTCCCCAGAGGAACTCTTGACTGAATTAAGGCTCTTGTTTGTAGGAAGCCAGATAGAGTGATATGAAAACTAATTTTTAGTTATTAACACCCGGGGTGGTGGGGCTAGGGGGGGAAAAAAGTACAGTGTGGTGTGTTTTCCACGACATCTACAGGACACAAGAAAAGCACTTAGACACCGTAAGGCCGGGAACCATGCTGGAATAACCACTGGTGTGGGTAATCAAAAAGCATCTTTGACGTTTACAAGGTGGGGGCTCCCTGCACTGTCAGAATCCCACATAAATCACATGCTTGTTGCAAAAATCTCATGGGAGGGAAGGGGGCTCGAATTCAGCCAGCCATTCCCCGTCTAAAAAACAAAACACAACACCCTTCTTCCCACACAAGCGTATGCAAAACCAGAATGCTCTGGGGACAAGAAGTGGTCTCCCAAACCTCGGGTCGGGTACAGAGAGCAACAATGGAGAAGAGGCCTTGGTGCTGTGGAGTCTTATGAGATACAAACGCAGGAGTAGGAAGTGACTTGCAATTCTGTGTGCACCTCGTGTCCTCTTCCCGGTGGGGACTACCATATGTACCCGACCTCGTCCTCTTTGTCGTCATCCTCATCCTCATCATCCTCTGTCACTGCCCGGGTGTGCACCCTCAGCTTGCCCAATCTGTCCTTTGGTCCCAGCTCCCGTTCATCCTCCAGGTCGTCTAGCAGGACCACAGAGCCACCACTGCCAAAATCCCCTGACGTTTCCTGCTCCTCTTCTGAAATATTAAGAAGGAAGACAAGATGGAGGATTAGTTTCTCTTTATACCTTATGACCATAAGAATGGTTCCTTCGCATGTGACTCAACTGTAGGGAAAAACCATGCAATTCACTCTCTGAATACTGGGGCCTCCCAGCCTGGAGGGACCACAGGCTTTGGGGGCCCCCAGAATTCTTGAGATGCTTCTACCTTCTGGGGTAGAACTGTGGGCGGTTTATCGAAGTCCCTGTCTGCCTGCGACAGTTCCTGACTGTTACAAAATGTTACCCAATCTCCTGCTCATGGTGAGTCCCTGCCACTCCGGAAGCTAGCTACGCATAATCAAGTGTGCTTTATTCACGTCACCATTGTAAGCTTGTTCGCTGTAGACCACGGATAGGTCTTGAAATTTCCCTGCCCAGGGCTTTATTCAGTCAGGACGTGCAAGCCGTCATGGTGGGGCTGATGCAGGAAGACCTTACTCACCACAGCTCACAGTGCCCTGTTTCCTGGAGCCAGCCAGCTCGTTTCCGTATTTATCCACACACCAGCACTGTCCTGTGCTCCCGTGGCACTGTGTGGCTTTGTAATAGCCCTCCTCATTACACCGAGGTATGAATGCTCCTGAGGGAATAAAAGGTCCAATTTGAATCAGAGGTGCCCTGACACTCGGGGGCGATGCCCTCCAAGACAGAGAAGAGGGCTAACCTATCAGACCGGCTACTTCTTGCACAGCTACCAGGGGAGAATGGGGCCGTTGGTTATTACTTACTCAAGATGACAAGTCCCTGGGTTTGCTCAAGGTTAGACAGGATCCCTTCTTTGACGGGTTCTTATGTTTCCCCTCTAAATGGTGAATGGGTCCTACTCTTACAACTGGTTAATATTTTTTCAGTTTTACTGAGCTAGAATTGATGGGCAGCCTTGTGGAATGTCAACTGTAGGGCCAAATTTGACTCACATATACTGGGACATGATTACCACTGTAAGTTTATTTAACATCCATCATCTCAATGACTTAAAAAAAAAAAAGATGTGTTTCCCTTGTGATGAGAACTCTTAGGATTTACTATTAACAACTTTCCTATGTACCACACAGCAAAGTTGACTAGAGTCCTCATGCTGTACATTAAATTCCTAGTACTTATATGCCTTTCAACTGGAAGTTTGTACCTTTTGATCACCTTTCTCCAGTTCCCCCCCCTCTCTACTCCCTACTGCTGGGGACTACCAGCCTGATGTCTTTTTCTATGAGTTTTTGTTGTAAACTTTTTTGGTTTATTTTTAGAGAGAGAGAGAGAACGTGTGTATACGTGAACAGGGGAAGGGCAGAGACAGTGTGGAGCCCACTTCAGCCTCTGACAGCAGAGAACCCAGTGTGGGGCTGGAACTCATGGAATCACAAGATCATGACCTGAGCCAAACACGCTTAACCAACTGAGCCACCCGGTGCCCCTGAGATTTTTAGATTCCACAGATAGGTGAGATCATACAGTATTTGTCTGACTTACTTCACTTAGCATAATTTCTTCAGGGTCCATCTGTGTTGTCACAATGGGCAAGACTTCCTTCTCTTATGGTATACAATATTCTATTGTGTATACACACGCACCAATAATGTCTTTATTCAGTAATCCGTTGATGGACACCTCTGTTGTTTCTGTATCTTGGCTACTATAAATAATGCTGAAGTGAACATAAGGGTACATATATCTCTTCGACAGAATGTCATTTCCTTGGGATATATTCTGACAAGTTGAATTGCTGGACTGTATGGCAGTACTATTTTAAAATTTTTGATGAACCTCCATACTGCTTTCCCTAGCGGCTGGACCAATTTACATTTCCACCATCAGCGCACAATGCTTCCCTTTCCCCATGTCCTTACTAGCACTTGTTGTGTCTGGTCATTTTGATGACAGCCATTCTAACAGGTGTGAGGTGATATCTCACTGTGGTTTCGATAAGCATTTCCCTGATGATTAATAACGTTGAGCATCTTTTCACGTACCTGTTGGCCATCTGTATGTTTTCTTTAGAATGATGTCTATATAGATCTTCTACCCATCTTTAAATCAGGTTTTTGGTTTGTTTTCCTACTGAGTTGAGTTCTTTATACATTTTGGGCATTAATCCCTTATCAGATATATGGTTTGCAAATGTTATTCCTCATTCTGTAGGTTTTCTGATAATTTCGCTGTGCAGAAGCTTTTAAGTTTGACGTAGTCCCACTTTTTTTTTTTTTTTAATTTAGTGGCTCGTGCTTCAGGTGTCCTATAAAAAATATGATTGCTGAGGCTCATGTCAAGAAGCTTTTTCCCCTATGTTTTCTTCTAGGAGTTTTATGGTTTCCAGTCTTGCATTTAAGTCTTTAATCCATTTTGAGTTAATTTTTGTGAGGGGTATAAGATAGAGATCTAGTTTCAGTCTTTTACATGTGAATACTCAATCTTCCAAGCACCATTTATTAAAGAGACTAATAGTAGACCTATACACTTGTGTTTATTTTTGGTTCCCTTGATCTTTGTGTCTGTTATTTTGCCATCATGCTGCTTTGATGATTACAGCTTCATAACGTAGCTTGGAATCAGCAAGTGTAATGTCTCCTACTTTGTTCTTAGGATTGCTTTGGCTATCTGGGGTCTTTTGTGATTCCATATGAATTTTAGGATTGTTATTTCTATCTCTGCAGAACATACCAGTGGCCTTTTGATAGGGATAGCAATTAAATTGTAGATGGTTTTGGGTGATATGCACATTTTAACAATATTAATTCTTCCACTCCATGAACATGGGATTCCTTTCCATTTATTTGTGTTGTCTTTGATTTCTTTCATCAGCATCATATAGTTTTCAGTAGATACATCTTTCACCTCCTTGGCTGAAACATATCTGCAAACAAGGAAAATTGTACTTGTTTCCAACTTGGATGCCTTTTGTTTCTTTTTCTTGACTGTGCTGCATAGGACTTCCAGTAGTATGTTGAATAGGAGTTGTAAGAGTGCCCACTTTGTCTCGTTTCTGATATTAGAGGAAAAGATTTCAACCTTTCACTGTTGAATATGATGTTGGTTGTCTTATGTGGCATTTATTATGTTGAGGTTTGTTCCTTTTATACCTAATTTGTGGAGAGTTTTTAAAAACCATGAATGGATGCTGGATTTTGTCAAGTGAATTTTCTGCATCTATTCAGATATCACCTTGTATTAATATATCATATTGGTTGATTTGTGTATTTTGAACCATCCTTGCATTGCTGCATTAAATCCCATTTGATCCTTTTAATGCACTGTTGAATTTGGTTTACTAGTATTTTGTTGGGAACTTTTGTATGTGTATTTAAGATACTGGCCTGTTTTTTTCTTGTAGGGTCCTTTCTGATTTTGCCATTGGGATAATGCTGGTCTCAAAAATGAGCTTGGGAGTGTTTCCTCTTCTTTGATCTTTTTTGGAAGAGTTGAAGAAGGTGTGGTGGTGTTAATTCTTTAAATGTTCACTAAAATTCACCAGTGAAGCCACTTGGTCCTGGGCTTTTCTTTTTGGGGATATTTTTGATTAGTAATTCAATCTCCTTACTAGTAATTGGGATATTGTTTTCCTGGAGTAAATACTACTTGGCCATGATACATTGTTATTGGAATACTACTGACTGAATTTACTGATCCCTTTGCATCTGTGTTACTAGGTGATTCACTAAGTGATAAAACTATATGCCTCTATTTCTTCTCCTTTTTTTATCATGGCACCCAATTCATGAAATGATTCAGGTGTTTTTCTTTGCCTCCTCTAGACATTTTGAATACATTTTCTTCTGTGAAAGACTTACTCATAAAAATATTTTGGGCCTCTTTTGGGGGGCGTTGAGGTTAGCATTTTGATTTTCATGAATTTCATGGTTTTTCATACAGGTGGGTCTTCTGTTTCTCTTCCATAACTCACAGTACTTGTTTCAACAAGGTTTTCAAAATTCTGTAAGTGAGCTTATAGCAGTGGTTGTCAAAGTGTGGTCCCAGGACCAGCACCTGCATCATTACCTGGAAACATCTTAGAAAAGCATGTACTTGGGCCCTATACCACCCAGATCTACTGAATCAGAAACTGTGCTTTAGTAAACACTCCAAGTGATTCCAATACATGCTGAAGTTTTCTACTTTAGTCTTGGTCATTTTTTGACTTGAAAAGTTAGTGTTTGTTTTTTCATAAATGCATTTGAAGCTGTGAATATTCCTCTAAGTTTTTAGTTGCTTCCCTCTGATTTCGGCCCACAAACCTCATTTTCATTCAATCCTAAAAGTAGTTTTAATTTTACTTTTGATTATTTACACTCCACGATGTATGGTCTATTTTGTTTTTAATTTGAATGCCCGTGAAAACACATTAGGAGCTATCCCCATGCAGGAAATGATGTGTAAGAAGGTCAATGGTATTTTTATGAGTCAGCCAGAGTAATCTCTCTATGTGGGGAGGTGTGATAAAGCAAGCTTGAAAACTAGGTGAGATTCAAGGTAGGACAAAGGTAGGCGTTTCATTGGTGTGAGCTAGGGAAAATGGAAGATGAGACATTTTATCTCAGACTACATGCCTTATAAATGTCTCATTCATTATTAATGAAGCGGTAAGAAGATATGCATAGCCAATGAAAATAAAATTTAAAAACTAGATTTATACTAATTCTTTAACTACCTGTGGACCTTAGGCATATCACTCAAACGCCTGAATAACCTCCTACATGGAGAAATCAGATTAGTGAGCACAAGCCCTTGCACTGGACAGACCTATGGAAGTTGCCTTCAGATCAGAATGATACCTTTGTCTTTTTAGAACCTAGGTCCACATAGGTCAAAGTCACAACTTTGGGGTTCTTCCTGAGTCGAACGGGGCATTATCAGAAGTGGGAGGTCTGAGGCAACCCCAAAATCAGTAGAGGAGAAACTACCTGAGTTCACGGACTACTTAGACAATCTGTAAAATCAAAACAAAACAAAACTTGCCCATTTCTTCAAGTACACAGGTGCATGTTTGAAATGGCAAGCCGCTTAAGGGATGCACCTGCTTCTTAATGCTTAACAAGAAAAATTGTGTATTATATTGCCGCTGTCAGCTCTTTTTTTAAAAAGCAAGTAAACCAACCCAGACTCCTTTTTTGACAAATATATGAGGTTTACCAGTCTCTGCAATGGCCTGGTCTGAATGCCATGACCACCCCTTAGTGCTGGAGAAAGAGGATATGCAGCTGAAAGGGAACACTTCAACAAGCCAGCATTTGTTACCTTTACCTCCAGCCACAGACGGGCATGTCAGGGAAAAGCACAGTTAACATTCAGACAGAGAGGAGAAATGTGCACTATTTAAACAGATTTATGCTTTCCTCCAGGGATTATTATGCACATGAATCCAAAAAACACATTTAAGCACACCCAAGCCTTTGAACCCGATCTGATAAATATAGAAGAGGCTACAGCTCATCTTCTTCCCTGAATGGACAATTTGGGGAATAATTCATAGACGTTACCGCTTGAACTAGGAAGGAACACTTTCATGCTCCATTCAAGAGAGATTCTTGAGAGAAGAGAAAGCCGAGGTTTACTGGAGCCCCAAGTAAGGGAGGAGCGGGCAGTAGAGACGGTGTTGGATTCCCACCCTTGCAGCCCTGCCCACTAGTCCTGGGCTAATGGACTAGGCAGCATTTCTCAAACAGCTCGCCTATCCTCAGACTACGTCCAGCCAGCTGTCTGGGAATGAAGCGAGGCATTTCTTTCAGGAAACACTGTTACCTAATGGAATAACCATTGCTGTGGCTCAACATTACACGAGACATGGTTGGTTTAATTAGTTGTTCAAACGAGTGACAAGAAATTGTACTTACCCAACAGGCTCTTCCCCTTGCTCAGCTTCTGGATCCTGTTCATTTCATTCTGGCAAGGGAGACCTGGAAAATAATTTATGAAAGTCAGTTTCCAGATGGTGCAGGACATAATCTCTAATGATTGGCTTCACTCATGAAGTGAAATGTACACAATGACACACCTGGGACTGGAATGACTCCATATGCTGTTATTAAACAGCACAACAAATTCAGGCCATTAGTGTTACTAATCAAAAAAAAAAAAAAAAAAAAAAACCCTTACATCATGAGGTACTTAAATAGTATTTGGGGGCTACTTGCATTGTATAGTAATTGTTCTTCCTGCCACCAACTCAGGCAAATGCCAAGTGCTTCTAGGTAATCTGGTAATAGACATTTTAATCAGCTGAGAACGAGGATCACAGCATCCTCGTGGTTAAGTGTTCCGAATCCACAGATGGGAGCAACTGACCAATACTTAATCTAACCCAGGTCTTGCTACAGGAGAGAAAGAGGATGAGAATACTACTTCAGACTTACATAGGCCTCAAGGAACAACTGTAAAATTATACAAACTTTGAAGCTATCTAAGAGATAGAGAGTAGCAGTGAGAATAGAAAAGTGAAACGTTAACTCTCAGCCTCCAGGTCCCCAATTATAAAACACCCGTTGCCATGAATGAGCACAAAACTCAGTTCTCAAGGGAAGGACTGATCGAGTGGGAGCTGCATGGCCAATGAGGGCCTATGACAGTGTGCAGTTCTGTCTCCTAAGAGAAGAACTTATTCCATTCCAAGCCTAAAGAAAGATGGCTTCACCAGTTCTTGAGTTGCCGTGACTTGCCTTGGCAGACCGCATGGCTCTGGAAGACTCTGATACGTACGTGCTCATGGGCCTCGAGCCAAGGGCAGAAGTATTCTGAGTCTCAGAACATTTACTACAGGCCCCAGACTTGCTTGGACAGAAGTAGCGTAAGTACCTGACCACCTTCTTAACATCTTTTACCCTGTGGAGTGCACGATGCCACCCGGTCTCGTTGCTGGTTCCTTAAGAAAAACTAATACGCTTTATTCACCCCTGGGTTTAAGGTGCTTTCAGAGTGCAGGAGAAAGATACCAACTGAAAACAACAAAGAAAAAGGGAAACAGATTCCATGTGTGATGAAGTAAAGCATTTACTATGACAAATAAGGGGCACTTAGTGAATTCTTAGAATGTACCAGACGATGTTCTAGAATTTTGTCTTCATCTTTACAACAATCCTATAAAGTAGGGACCAATATTCTTCCTATTTTACCACCGGAAAGCTCATCTTTGTGCAAAAACCGTAGGCATTTAGAAGACTGTTCCTGAAGAATGCAAAATTCGCCCACATACATAGAAACACTGTGTTGGGGAGTTCCTCAAATGGTCCGATGGTAATTGTAAAAATTTTACTTCTCTTCCAGCAAGGAAACATGAATCAGGCTGAGACCTACTAAAAAGTACTGCAAGAAAACCCAACTCCACATGAAGAATTCTAACAGAAAACGCTGGCTTCTGAGCAAATGAAAATAGTTACCCAAGACTTAAGTAGTCAAGGGCTCTAATGAAAAAGACACTTGGGGCACCTCAGTCGGTTAAGGGTCTGACTCTCGATCTCAGCTCATGTCTGTTGCGGCCCCTCACTGGGCTCCATGCTGGGTGTGGAGTCCACTTGAAAAAAAAAAAGAATCACCACACAAAAAGGACACTCCAGTTCAATGCAGATACAAAGGCTCAAAGACATAAGAGACACAGAAGAAAATTAAACACTTAAATAAAGGAAGGCTGTATCTGAAGCAACAAAACTGATGTGCAACATGTATATAACTGATGCTGCTGAGCAGAGACTAATCAAATGGAACCAAATGTTTAATTCCAGAGCTCAAAAATGCATGACATAGGGGTGCCTGGGTGGAGGTCATGATCTCACGGTTCGTGAGTTTAAGCCCCGCATCAAGCTCCGTGCTGACAGCTCAGAGCCTGGAGCCTGCTTCGAATTCTGTGTCTCCCTCTCTCTCTGCCCCATCCCCATTCATGCTCTGTCTCTGCTTAAAAAAATAAATAAAATATTTTAAAAAATTAAAAAAAATGCATGGCATATCTCAGGAAAGTGTTACGAACTGAGCAAAACTAAGACATGTCCTAGGAAATTCATCTCCTTAAAGGGGAACAAAAATTAGTATGAGTTCATATTATTCTATAGCTAAACCCAGTACTAGGAGAGTAAGTTTAATCTTGGCATCTTTGTTTCTGTATAAAGAAAATACCAATATTTACAGATACTCAAGTGCTAACTCAAGGAATACAATTCCAGTGAGAATTTTTGAAGAAACTTCAAAAACTCAAACGTAATACTAAACAAAAATATTGAAACCAGTCAAGAAATAATCCTACCACATGGAAAATTTTAAAGTGCTCTCTCAAAATTTTCTTGGACCGAAGAGGCATTTAGAGCCTTTATTGTAGGACATCTACACATTAATCATAGTAAAAAAAAAAAAAAAAAAAATCCTCACATACCTAATACCTATGGTCTATAGCTAAAAGGGTGCTTTGGAGAAAACTTTTAGCCTTGAGTACATGCATTAATCAAAAGGAAATGAGGAAATGTGGGGGTCAAAGAGAACTCCCAGGGCTGGTTCTGGGTCATGGAGGAAGGTGGTAGAAATCCAACAAAAATAAAGAACCTAACTTAAGAAAGGGAGAGAGGCGCACCTGGGTGGATCAGTTAAGCATCTGACTCTTGATTTTGGCTCAGGTCATGATCTCAGTGTTGTGAGATCAAACCCCATATAGGGCTCTGTGCTGGGTGTGGAACCTGCTTGGAATTCTCTCTCTCCCTGTCCCTTCCCCACCTGCCACTCTGTTTCTCTCTCTCCCACAAAAAATAAAGAAATAATGAGAGAAATACACAAAATGAGTAACAAAAAAAAAAAAATGAACTATAACAAAATGACTTCTGTTGTAGTTTGATCAACTTCTCCTGGATACCATAATGTGCCACGTGATGGGGTTTTGGCCTCCTTCAGCAGTTGCTGAAAGGGCAGCACATCCAGGGACATCCACACAGCGTGGTGACCAGCTCTGTCCCTTGATAAAGGCAGTAACCTCATGCTCAGGGTCCTGGCATTACACCTCCAAGAAGCACTAACACGGAGGCTTTGGTTACTTAGGCTAAGCCTGAACCCTGGCTGAAGGTTACATGATTTTATATGGACTCAAGCCCAAAGCTATCATTAAACTTAGAACTCAATCACTCCAAGCATTTCTATTAAAGTAAGAACATGGCTATTATTTAACACAAATTTGAAGTATTAGCTGATATGATTAGAAAAGAGAGAGGAGGTATAAAAAGAAAAAAGAAAAAATTATCACTATTTGCAGAGGTTATGATTGCACACCTCAAAAATCAAAGGAAACCAACCAGAATAATTATTATAAACAAAATGAGAATTTAGTAAGGTGGGTGCGAACAAGATTAATACTGAAACCACCAGCAGTGAGGAACTATAATGGGAAAAAAAAATCAATTTCCTTTACAAGGGCAATAAATAGACAGGAAGTACAGTATCTATGAGAACAAAACTTAATGTAACTCTAGGGGCCCCTGGATGGCTCAATTAGGCGTCCAGCTCTTGATTTTGGCTCAGGTCATGATCTCACAGTTTTTGGGTTCGAGCCCTGCTATGGGTTCTGTGCTGACATTGCAGAGCCCTCTTGGAATTCTCTCTGCCCCTCCCCCACATGTGTGCGCATGCTCTCTCTCGCTCTAAATAAATAAAAACCATTAAAAAAATATAACTCCATTGGTTGATAGATGCTGTTCTACAATAAAAGGATTCTAGATGGAAGAAGAGACGTATAAATATAAAGAAATATTATATACAATAGAGGAAGCATTCAGATGAGAGGAGGAGGATAGGTTAGTCAATACATGACAAAAACGTAACTGAACAACCATTCCCAGGAGTGGGGAGAGGGGCTGTGACCCTCTCTGACCATACACCAAAGAAACCAAAAGTGATACAAGATTTCAATAAACAACCAACCAACCAAAATGTGCTGAAGAAAACACAAACACAAGAGAATCATGCACCTTCAAATACTGAAGGTATTTGGTACCTTTACCTAAGGTACCCAAAGGTACATGTTAACTTTCTAGACTTAATGTAAGCCTTATGGTTGCTAAAAAACCATAAAAGATGGAGAAATTTTACACTCTTAAATTGAAAAATGTCTTCCTAAAAAAATGGACCAAGTCAAAGTTGGGGAAAAATATATTTGCAATACATGTGACTTCAACAGTGCTAATGTCCTTCATTGAGAAAAAAAAATTCCTAGAAACATACCAAAAATTACCAAAAAAAGGAATTTCTCAAACACGAAGGTGTTCAATCTAAGTTATAATAAGAGAAATGAAATGAGACCCGTGAGGAAATGTAAC